ATTTTTAAGCTCTTAGTCAGTGTCTTGCACCCTAACGTGATAGAGAGCAGGTCTTGACCTTCTATGTGGCACCAACCTTTGTAAAAAACTCTCTCCCCCCCCCATTTCCTCCTTTTGTCTCAAAGCCAATTATATGGAGGTCCCTTTAGTTTCTCAGTGCAATTTAATTTCTAGCCTCCTGCTTGTCTTCTCGCATCTGTTTTCTGCATCTGTTCCAGATTCCCTGGCAATTTCGTTGCGATGCGGTATCTTGTATTGGATGTAACATTCCAAGTTGTTCTAACACACGTGGATCAGAGTGGAAGTATTACTTCGCATGACTGGGAAATTAAACTTCTATTGGCACAGTTTAAAACTGCATTGGTCTTGTTTGCAGCACTATCACACTGCTGGCTCACACTGTGTTGTGTTCAAATATGATTCCAAGCAAGGATGTCCAAATAGGGTGTGGTCAAAACAATTAAGATGGTGGCCATCTTGACTTGTTTGACCATACCCTACAGACACCGCTGACACCAATACCCTTTTTGCACATCCTATCACAAGCCAAGTATCCCCAGTCCTATTCCTGTACATTCTGTTTCCCTTTCCTAGGTGAGGAACTTTGCTGCTGTTCCTCTTAATTTTCATCCTGTTAATTCCAGCCCATACTCCAACCGAGAACATCGGAAATACCATTTCTGTCTTCCAGAGCATTAGCTGTGCCACCAAGTTTGATGCCATCTAGTTCCTCGGATTCACTGCCCAAGTTTCATGGATACCACCAAGTAGCCTTTCAAATTACAGAAGACAGTCACTTTGGGAAAAGAGAATTTTGTTTCGGCAACAAGACTCACCAGCAACCTCCACCGTAGCAGCAGAGAGAACCCCCTTAAATCAGGGGTCTTTTGCCCGAAAAGCAGCCCCTTTTCAACCTAATGCCTCATCGTTGGCGACTTCCAGCTGCCTTTTCAACGCAAAATTGAACGCGCCCACTGGGAAGTCCCGGTGCGCCCAGAGGGGCTTCGGTGCGCCCGCAAAACACGCGCAGGACCGCAGCCGTGGTTCAGGCTGCGGGGGAGGGGGCGGGGGGGGCTTTTAGTTGTTTGACTCTACCTCTCATTATCCCTGATCGCTGGCCATGTCGCCTGAGCGGCTCGCGGGGTGCGGGGGTCATGGGGCTCCGCCGGGGGGCGCGGGCTCCCCCCCGGGCCCCTCTCCCCTTCCCCGCTTCCCT